CCTCCCTTCTTCTCTCCCCTCCCCTCCCCTCCCCTCCCTTATCCTCCCCTCCCCTCCCTTATCCTCTCCTCCCCTCCCCTCTCCCCTCCCCTCTCCTCTCCTCTCCTCTCCTCTGCTGAGGCTGTGGGTGGAAGGAAGTAGGAGAGCTACTGATCAAACTTTACAGAATTTCAGTTAGATAGGAGAAGTAATTTCAAGAGATCAGTTGTAAATCATTGTGACTATAGTTAATAACAGTATATCATATACTTGAAAATGCTTATACTGTGAATTTTAAGTGTTCTTACCACAAAAATGATAAGTATCTGAAGTAATCCATATGTTAATTAGCTTACCTTAACAATTTACAAAGTCTATGTATTTTTAAACATAGACACGTGGTACTTGATAAACATCTATATTTTTTTTTACCATTTATGGGATGCTGGCATTGCAGGTGGCAGCTTAACCTGCTGTGCCACAAGATAGTCCCTCTCCTTTTCTGTTCTTTAGAATAATTTCAGAAGAATTAGTGCTAATTCTTCTTCTTCTTCTTTTTTTTTTTTTTTGACAGGCAGAGTGGACAGTGAGAGAGAGAGACAGAGAGAAAGGTCTTCCTTTGCCGTTGGTTCACCCTCCAATGGCCACCGTGGCCGGCGCGCTGCGGCCAGCGCACTGCGCTGATCCGAAGGCAGGAGCCAGGTGCTTCTCCTGGTCTCCCATGGGGTGCAGGGCCCAAGTACTTGGGCCATCCTCCACTGCACTCCTTGGTGACAGCAGAGAGCTGGCCTGGAAGAGGGGCAACCGGACAGAATCCGGCGCCCCGACTGGGACTGGAATGCGGTGTGCCGGCGCCACATGGCGGAGGATTAGCCTAGTGAGCCGCGGCACCGGCGCTAATTCTTTTTTAAATGTTTCTAAGAATTCAGCAGTGAAACCATCTGGTCCTGGGCTTTTCTCTGATGGGAGACTTTTTTTTTATTACTGATTCATTTAGCTACTTATTATTGATCTGTTTAGGTAATTCCATTTCTTCATGATTCAGTCTTAATAAGGTGTATGTGTCTAAGAATTTGTCCATTTCTTCTAGTTTATATCAAATTTATTGTCATAATTACTCATAGAAAGCTGTAACAGTTCTTTGTATTTCTGTGGTGTCAGTTATAATGTCTCCCTTTGCATGTCTGATTTTATGTATTTGTCTCTTTTTTTCTTAGTCTGGCCAAGGATTTGTTAATTATCTTCAAAGAACTGCGTTATTATTTTAAAAAATAATTTTCACTCTCTAGTGGACTTATTTGTGCTCTTAGTTTTATTTTGTCTATTTCTACTAATTTTGAGTTGCATTTGTTATTATTTTTCTGGTTTCTTGGATTGCAACAAAAAGTTGATTATTTGAGGTAGTTTGGACTTTTTAACCTAGAAATTGATTTATATGACCTTCCCTCTTAGTATTGCTTTTGCTCTGTCCTATAGGTTTTGGTATGTTGTGTTTCCATTTTCATTTACTTCAAAAAATTCATTTTCTCTTAAGCTTCTATTTTAATCCATTTGCTCTTCAAGAGTGTGGTTTAGCTTACATGTAGTTTCTGAAGTTTTTATTCATTTCTAGTTTTGTTGCATTGTGATCAGAAAAGAATACTTTATGTGGTTTCTAATTTTGAAAATTTGTTGAGAATCGGTATGTAACCTGCCCCATAATCTCACCTGGTGTATGATCTATGAGCTATTAAGAAGAATGTATGTTCTACAACTGTTAGATGAAAGGGTCCCTAAATGTCTGTTAGTTCCAGTCAATCTAGGGTGCAATTTAACTCTACTGTTTCTTTTTTGATTTTTCTGTTCATTTCTGTAAGGAGTTTTTTTTAAAGATTCATATATTTATTTGAAAGTCAGAGTTACACAGAGAGAGAAGGGGGCGGGGAGAGGGAGAGAGGGAGGGAGAGTTCACTCCCCAGATGACTGCAAAGGCCAGAGCTGAGCTGATCTGAAGCCAGGAGCCAGGAGCTTCTTCCTGATCTCCCATGTGGGTGCAGGGGCCCAAGCACTTGGGCCATCCACCACTGCTTTCCCAGGCCACAGCAGAGAGCTGGATCTGAAGTGGAGCAGCTGGGACTCGAACCTCAAACCAGCACTCATATGGGATGCTGGTACTGCAGGCAGCGGCTTTACCCGCTGCACCACAGCGCTGGCCCGAAAGGAGGTGTTTAAACTCCCTGACTATGTTGGATTAAAGTCAATATCTCCATTTATGTCTATTAATATTTGCTGTGGATAAAATATATGATTTTTAACTCATATAAGTGTGGCTACTGCTTCTTCATTTTGATTTTTGTTTTTATTTGTTTATTTATTCCATCCTTTTACTTTCTTTTTTTTTAAAGATTTATTTATTTATTTGAAAGTCAGTTACACAGAGAAGGAGAGGCGGGGCGGGGGTGGGGGAGTTCTTCCATCTGCTGGCTCACTCCCCAGTTGCCCACAATGACTGGAGCTGCGCTGATCCGAAGCCAGGAGCCAGGAGCTTCTTCCTGGTCTCCCATGTGGGTGCAGGGGCCCAAGGACTTGGTCCATCTTCTACTGCTTTCCCAGGCCATAACAGAGAGCTGGATCAGAAGTAGAGCAGCTAGGACTTAAACTGATTCCCATATGGGATGCCGGCACTACAGGCAGCAGCTTTAGCTGCTATGCCACTGTGCCAGCCCCTGTATGTCTTTTTTTTTTTTAAGATTTATTTTATTTATTTGAAAGACAGTTACAGAGAGAGAGAGAGAGAGAGAGAGAGAGAGAGAGAGAAAGAGAGGTCTTCTATCTGCTGGTTCACTCCCCAAATGGCTGCAAAGGTGGAGCTGAACCAATCCGAAGCCAGGAGCCAGCAGCTTCCTCCAGGTCTTCCAAGTCTCCCGTGTGGGTTCAAGGGCCCAAGGACATGGGCCAGCCTCTACTGCTTTCCCAGGCCCATTAGCAAGGAGCTAGATCAGAAGTGGAGCAGCCAGATTCCAACTGGGGCGAATGTGGGAGGCGGGTGCTACATACAGCCCAGGCTTTAAAACCACTGTGCCACAGTGCTGCCCCCTCTGTGTCTTTTAATTGGAGATACATTCCACTGACATTTAAGATAATTATTGATAGATAAGATCTTACTCCTGCCATTTTGATGCTTATTTTCAAATGTTATTGTAGTTCTTTTGTTTCTTCTTCCTCTCAAAATTTTCCTGTGGTTTAGTTGTTTTCTGTTGATACTTATTTATTTTTTTGAAGTCTCTTATATGGATTTTTTTTCTTTGTAGTTACCATGAGGCTTACCAAAAACTACTTTGGTCATAACATGCTATTTTGAAATTATACCAACTTAATATTGATTAATAAAGTTTGGAAAGGGAACAAAAAGCAAAAGGGATAAGAATTCCAAAAAACATTCTAAACTTGCACTCCATTCTTCCCCATATTTTAAAATTTTGATGTCCTTTTTTACATCTTTTTGTATTCCCTCTTAGTCTTTTAGCATCATTGTTATTATCTTAATTGTTTTGTTTTTTTCTTCAAGCTGAGGATATAAATGGTTTAAGTACTTTTTGACAGTAGGAGTGCATTCTGAATTTGTTTGTATGGTGGATACTCTGAACAGCGAGCTTCTTGCCTTCTGATATTTTTACTTACTTGTTAGTGTCTCCTTCTTTCAGATTAAAGAACTACCTGTAACATTTCTTGCAAGACAGGTCTGGTGGTAATGAATTTTCCCAGCTCTTGTTTGTCTTGGTATGTCTTTCTCTTTTCCTCATATCTGAAGGATAACTTTGCTGGCTACAATCTGTTTGAATGGCATTTCCTGCCCCCTCCATACCTTGAAAGTATTATCCCAGTCCATCCTGTTATGCGAGTATTCAGCTGAGAAGTATGCAGTCAAGCAAGCTGTGACCTCTTTATCTGTTATTTTTTTCTCATTTGCTGCTTCGAGGATGTTCTCTTCATCTTTAAGCTTGGAAATCTTGATTAAAATAGGTTGTAAGTAGACTTGGTTGTGTTGAATCTGACTGGTGATCTTTGATTTTCCTGTACATGGATAGTTGTATCTTTCTCTAGGTTTAGGAAGTTTTCTGTTACTATCTCATCAACATGCTTTGGCATTCTCAAATCCCTCTTCAATAACTAGGATATTTGCTTTTTTATACTGTCCTGAAACTTTCTATAAACTTTCTTCATTCCTCTTACTCTTTTTATTTTTTTTCCCTCCAGATGTGTGCGTTCAAGTAGCCCTTTGAACTGCATGACTCTTTCTTTTTGATCTGTTCTGCTATTGTTGCCTGTTGTTACGGTTTTAATTTTAGTGTACTATTTGAGTAATTTCTGTTTGACTTATTTTAATTACTTCTATGTCTCTGTCACATCTGTTAGAGTATTAAATATTTCTTGAAGTTCATTGAGTTTCCTTTCTTCTTTAAATGATTTTATTCATTTATTTGACAGGCAGAGTTACAGAGAGAGGGCAGACAGAAAGAAAGATCTTCCATCTGTTGGTTCACTCCCCAACTGGCTGCAATGGCCGGGGGCTGTGTCAGGCAGGAGCCAGGAGCCAGGAGCTTCTTCTGGGTCTCCCACGTGGGTGCAGGGGCCCAAACACTTGGGCCGTCTTCCGCTGCTTTCCCAGGTGTGTTAGCAGAGAGCTGGATTAGGAGTGGAGTAGCCGGAACTGGAATTGGCACTCATGTGGGATGTCGGGTGTCACAGGTGGCAGCTTAACCTGCTACACCGCAACACTGGCCCCTGAGTTTCCTTTACACAGCTATTTTTAAAATATTTATTCAAATGTTTGAAACTTTCAGTTTTTAGATGGTTGTGGTTGTTTCCTAGCACTTTATTTTCTTCATTAGGTAAGTTCATGATTCCCTGGAAGTTCTTGACACTTGCTGGTGTACAACATTGCACATTTAGGGATTAGTTACAGTAATTTGGGTTTGTTTGTGGCTGTCCTTCCAGAAATTTGAAGCACTATGTTTATTTTACTGACTTTCTGTATACTTCTACTATGTCAGCACTAGATGGCACCCAAGTCATGGTTTGCCTCAGGTCTATTTGTGTTTTCAGTGCTTTCACTCCCGAAATGCTGCATAAACTCAGGATTTGTCCCAAATCCACAGTTGATATGTTATTCAGAAGGTACTGGGGAAATGCCTAAAAAATGTTTTCCATCCCTACAAACATCTTTCTGGTGTTGAGGTAGGCCCAGACACCTAGTCTTGCGCCTACCAATGCCATAATGCTAGATCACAACCAAGGCCTACAGCCAACCAAGACCAGAGCAGCCTGGAGCATGACTGAAGCCCTCTGTGCTATGATATCTGGCTGCTGCTGAAGTGGCCTAACTCCCTGGTACCACACCTGCCCTCTACTGGTGATGCTGGTTCAGAATAAGACTAATCAACTGAGGTCATGGAACTCCACTTGGCTCAAAGCAGGTCCAGAGGCCCCATCTTCACACATCAGCCTTGGATAGACACCATCAAGATTTTATTGTATTCTACCAGCCAGGCATTGAGTCTCAAGACAGACCTATGATTCCCTGATATCCGCCCAAGGTTGGTGGAGGGGTGATAGAGGTGGACTCTCATTTGCCCAGACACTAGATAAGTTACCCCTAGGTCTCACAGTCATCAGACCCTCTTTAATCTTGGGGGTATACACCAGGCCCACATGAACACACGAGGATGGCAGTGTTACACTCTGAATATAATATGTCCCACCAGGGTGCAAGTCTCCACCTGAGGCCGGGGCAACTCTAGAGATTCTATCTACAGATACTGGCTTAGGATGGGGGCCATTAGGATCTGCCAAATGCTGGACTTTTCCAGTCCAGTCCTGAGTCCCAAGATACAGTCCTATGGATCCTTCCTTTCTGCCCAAGGATAGAAAAGGAGTGATAAAGCCCCCTGGCTACCCAGACTGGAGCAAGACTAGGTCATACCAGGGTCATAGTCACTAGGCCCTACAAAGTCTTAGCTTGTTTGTCAGGCTCACTTGAAGCTGATGGTAGAACACGTATAAATGAGTGCATCCCACCAGAAGGCAGTTCTCTGCCTTATGCTGATGCAAGTCTAGATGCTCTGCCTGCAATCACTGGCCTGAGGGTGAAAGTCTTTGGGCTTTGTGATGACCTGGTGTCACGGCAGCAGGGTACCTCTTAGCTTCAAGCAAGGTCCTAAGTGCTCCTTCTTTTTCACTATTCTTCAGCAGCAAGAGTCTTGCTTGGCTTTTTGCTGTATGTTGGAGAAGGAGTGGCAGAGGTCATTCCCTGGCTGCCTATCTATGTAGTGTTCAAATACTCAGTTTGCAGATGTGGTCCTGGTGGCAGGGGCTGTAGTGCCTGTCCTACTCTCAATTTTACTATCATGGGTCTGGCATTGGGACTCAAATCTAGAACTGGACTTAATTCCTTCGCCCTCCACCAGCTCGGGTAGAAGACATCTCCAAATTGCAGAGACAGGAGAGGGACAATGTAGGCAATTCTCTCCTCACTGCTTTCTTCAGAGCATGTTTTCTCAGTATTTTACTAAAAAAGGCACTCACTGTGGTCTCTTGTCTGGCTATAATGGCTCTTGCAAAAGTGACTTGGTGAATATCTGTGGAAATTGGTGTCTCTGGGAAGATTATTTCTGGAGCATCTCTACTCTCCCTCATCTTAATTAAATTAGCAGCATGATCATTAAATTTAGGGAGGAGTATACAGGTGTCTCTGAAGCCATTCAAATTAAAAAAAGAAAACACTGGGTGAGCAACTGTAATTTTAAACACTAAAAATATTATCTCCAACAAAATAGTTCATCTAAACATTTTAAAAAATATTTATTTATTTATTTGAAAGACATACAGAAAGTGAAGCAGAGAGAGAGAGAGAGAGAGAGAGAGAGAGAGAGAGAGAGAATCTTCTACCCTTCTACCCGCTGGCTCACTTCCCAGATGGTTGGAGCAACCAGGGGTGTGCCATGCTGAGGCAAGGGCCATGAACTCCATCTGGATCACTTACATGGGTGGCAGGGCCCCAAGTACTTGACCTATCATCCACTGCCTTCTGAGGCACATTAGCAGTAAACTGTATCAAAAACAAAGCAGCTGGGATTGGAGCCAGCACTCTGATATGGGATGTCATCATTGCAGGTAGTAGTTTTAACCCACTGTGCCACAACACTGGTGCTTGTTAGCCTGCTTGGTCAATGATAGATACTTATAAGATTCCCAGATTGTATTCTTTTTTATTTTTTTCTAACTCATGTTTTTATTTGTTTGAGAGGGAGGGAGACAGAGCTCTCATCCACTGACTCACTCTACCAAATGCTCTCAAGGGTCAGGGCCACAGCTGAGAGCCAGGAACTCAATCCAGGTATCCCACATGAGTGGAGGGACCCAATTACTTGAGCTATCATTGCTGCCTCCCATGGTACACATTAGCAGGAAGCTGGAGTCGGGAACTAGGTATGAAACCAGGTAACTCCAGTGTGGAATTTGGGCATCTTAACCATTAGGCAAAATGCCCATCGCCCTTCTTTCCAGATTAAACTATAGTGTAAGTTAGTATGATTTATAAAACAAATGAAAAGATATTCCCATCTTCCAGAGGCCTTTATATATTACCAAATGGAACAGTCTATTATGTGCCAGGTACTGCTCCTAAATTCTAGGAATATAGCATAGAATAAAAACATCCTCATGGAGCTTACATTTAGGAATAGAAGGAAACCTAATAAATTTAAAAATATTAATATGTAATATTAAGTAGTGATAAATTATGACAGTAAAATAAAGCAGGGAATGAGGGTAGAGAGTTTTGGAGGGGCCGGTGTTATGGCGCTGTTGGTTAAGCCGCTGCCTATAATGCTGGAAATCCCTGTTGAGCACCAGTTCAAGTCCCAGCTGCTACACTTCCCATCCAGCTCACTGCTAATGTGCCTGGGAAGGCAACAGAAGATGGCCCAAGTCCTTGGGCCCCTGCACCCATGTGGGAGACCCTGATGGAGTTCCTGGCTTCTGGCTTCTATCTGTCCCATCCCTGGCCATTGAGGCCATTTAGGGAATAAACCAGCATATGGAAGATCCCTCTGTCTCTACTTCTTGCTCTGTAACCATACTTTTCAAATAAGTCTATTTTTAATAAAGAGTAAAGGTTTAGGAAGAAGCAATAATATTTTAGATGTCATAGAGAAGTTCTCCTTGGACAAATATATGAATGAAATAGGGGAGCTAACCATGAAACTCTCTGCCAGAGAAGCATTCTAGGTTTTGGGAACAATGAGTGCAGAGGTCCTTGAGTAGGAATGTGCTTGGCTTGTTCACAGCAAGAAGCCCATTGTGGCATAAATGGAGGAAACAATGGAGGTGGTATAGATGGAGCCCCTTGTGGTATAAATGGAGGAAGGAGAAAGTGAGCAGAGATAGTTTTTTAGAGTGGTAGCTAGGGACCAGATCACGTGAAAATAGGCCATGAAAAAGTTTGATTATATTTGAAAGTCTTAATGAAAACTCAGTAGAGAGTTCTGACAAGGGGGTCAGTGTTATCAGACTTATGCTTTTAAGGAGTGATTCTGGCTGTGTAGAGAATGGACTCTTGGAAAACAGGAGTACAAACAGGCTGAATAATGGCAACTACAGTGGTCCAGGTAGCTAATGATAGTGATTTGGAATAAGGTGTTAGCTGTGGAAATAGTAGTAGTGTATGGCTTTAGTTTATATTTTGGAGGTAGAGCCAATGGATATGTGGATAGATTGAATATGTAAGAGATAGAGGAATCAATGATTACCATGATTCAGGGCCACTCAGTGAATAAAGATGTCATTTATTGAAATGGGTAAAGACTGAGAAGAACAATTTTTGTAGGGAAGATCAGAAGTTTGGGTCAGGATATCTTGCATTTGAAATGTCTTTTAGACATTAATATGGAGATTGAAGATTGGTTAGATATATGAGTCTGGGATTTTTGAGAGAGATTAGACTAGGACAAATTTGGGATTCATCAAGGTTTAAATGGTATTGAAAGTTAAGAGATTGAATAAGATTACTAAGAGATAAGGATGTGATTCATAAGGGAAGAAGTCCAGATATTGAGCCCTGGGATATTTCAGTGTTGAAATTCAGGTGGTGAGAATGAATCAACAAAAATAAAAACAAATTTTTACAAATATTTGTTTGTTTTGAAATTCAGAGCTACTGAGAGATAGGGAGAGACACAGAGAGATCCTCAATCTGCTGGTTCACTCCCCAGATGGTTGCAATGGCCAGGAGTGGACCAGGCTGAAGCCATGAGTCAGGAACTTCATCCTGGTATCCCACATGCATGGCAGAGGCCAAAACACTTGAGTCATCCTCTGCTGCTTTTCCCAGGCCACTAGTAGGGAACTGGATCAGAAGTGAAACAGCTGAGACAGGAACCATGCCTGGTGGTGGCATTACCTACTACTACACAATGCCAGTCCTGGAAACAAAATTTTAAAAAGCCAACAAGTTAGGAATAGCCAGTAAAATAAGAGAAAATCTAGAATATAGTCATCTTGGAAACTAAGTCAAGAAAATGTTTCAAAGAGGAAGGAGTAATTAACCCTGTCCAATATTAGTGACAATGATAGTGACTAAATATCCTTAATTTCCCAAGAAAGTACTAGTTTATGCCTGTTGTACAGGAGCAGTTGTTAACACATTTTTTTTTACTTTCAGTAGTGTCTTAATTTGGGTGATAAATTATATGGTTGCAATGATGATAAGTCAAGATGAGAATTGATAATTGATTATTGAATTTGGTAACATGTGAATTATTGTCAGTCTTGACAAAAGCAGTTTTCAGTAGAGCAATGAAATTTCATTGGATGTTGGTGATGAAATATTGCAGTGATTTCAAAAAAAGAGAGGAAAAATTGGGTAGTAGCTATGGAATGATATAAAGAATTTTGGTTTCAAGACAGGAAATAGTATAGTATGTTGAAATGCTGATGAGAATATTCCAAAAAAGAAGAAAATGTTTTAATTTTGTTTTTTTAGGATTTATTTATTTATTGGAAAGTCAGAATTACAGAGAGAGAGGGAGAGGTAGAGAGACAGAGGGATCTTCCATTCACTGGTTCTCTCCCCAGGTGGCCACAACAGCCAGTGGTGGGCCAGGCTGAAGCCAGGAGCCAAGAACTTCTTCTGAGTCTCCCGTGAGGATAGCAGGGGCCCAAGCACTTGGACCATTTTCTGCTGCTTTTCCCAGGCCATTAGCAGGGACCTGAATCGGAAGTGGAGCAGCTGTGACAGTAACCATTGCTTATATTGGATCATAAGCAGCGACCTTACCTGCTATGCCACAATGCCAGCCCCTATTATTATTTTTTTAAGATTTACTTATTTATTTGAAAGGCAGAGTTAGAGAAAGGCAGAGGGCGAGGGCGAGAGAGAGAGAGAGAGAGAGAGAGAGAGAGAGAGAGAGAGTTACCCATCTGCTGGTCTACTCCTCAAATGTCTGCAATGACTGGAGCTGGGCTGATCTGAAGCTGGAAGTCAGGAACTTCCTCAGAATTCCCGGTGTGGGGGCAGGTGCCTTCCCAGGCCATAGCAGAGAGCCAAATTGGAAGTGGAGCAGCTGGGGCTCAAACCAGTGCCCATATGGCCACTGCACTGGCCCCAACAGTTCATTTTTAAGAATAGTTTTAGGTTCACAGCAAAGTGATCCAACAGAGATATGTATAACCTCCTGCCTTCAAGCATAGCCTCCCCAGTTATCAGCATCTCCTGTAACAGTAGTTTGTTTGCTACAATTGATGAATATATATTGATTATCATTACTACCCAAACTCTACTGTTAATACTAGGGTTAAGTTTTGGTGTTGTATGTTTTATGGATGTGGATAAATACTTAATGACATGTATACACCATTAGAGTATCAAACAGAGTAGCTTCACAACACTGAAAATCCTCTGTGTTGTGCCTATAATCCCTTCCTTCCACTTAGCCTGTAGCAACCACTGATCTTTTTACTGTCTTCATAGTTGTACCATTTCCAGATGTCATATAGTTGGAATCACATAGTATGTGGTCTTTTCAGACTGCCTAGTTTATAATATGCATTTAAATTTCCTCTATGTCTTCCCATGGCTTGATACTCATTTATTTTTAGTGCTGAATAATAGTCCATTGTCTGCATGCACCACAATTTAAAAATATTTATTTATTTGTTTTCTTTTCATTTGAAAGGCAGAGAGACAGAGACAGAAAGACACAGAGAACTCTTCCATCTGCTAGTTTGTTCCTTAAATGCATGTAACAGCTAGAGCTGGACCAGGATGACGCCAGGATCCTTGTACACAATCTCGATCTCTCATGAGGATGGCAGGAACCTAAGTTCTTGAGCTATCACCTGCTGCCTCCCAGGAGGTGCGGATTATTTGGAAGCTAGAATTGGAAGGAGAACTGGGACTTGAACCCAGATATTTCAGTTTGGGATGCAGGCATCCCAAATGATGTCTTTTTAAAAATTTTTATTTCAATTTTTAATTAGTTTTTTTTTACAGATTCAGTGTGCTTTGTAGATAAAATTCTAAGAATATAATGATATTTCTTTCCTCCTTTCTTCCCTCAAGTGATGTATTTTTAAAGATTTATTTATTGAAAGACAGAGTTACAGAGAGAGGTAGAGACAGAGCGAGAGGTCTTCCATCTGCTGGTTTACTCCCCAGATGGCTGCAACGGCCGGAGCTGCGGCAAATCCGAAGCCAGGAGCCAGGAGCTTCTTCCGGGTCTTCCACGTGGGTACTTCTATTGCTATCCCAGGCCACAGCAGAGAGCTGGATCAGAAGAGGAGCAGCCAGGCCTAGAACTGGTGCCCATATGGGATGCCAGCGCTTCAGGCCAGGGTGTTAATCCGCTGCACCACAGTGCCAGCCCCAAGTGATGTCTTAATGACTGTTCCAAATGCCTGCCCCACCACAATTTGTCTGTTTACCTACTGTAAAACATCTTGGTTGGCTGGTGCTGTGGCTCACTAGGCTAATCCCCCACCTCCGGTGCTGGCACCCCGGGTTCTAGTCCTGGTTGGGGCACCGGATTCTGTCCCGGTTGCTCCTCTTCCAGTCCAGCTCTCTTCTGTGGCCCGGGAAGGCAGTGGAGGATGGCCCAGGTGCTTGGGCCCTGCACCTGCATGGGAGACCAGAGGGAGGCGCCTGGCTCCTGGCTTCGAATCGGTGCAGTATGCCGGCTGTAGCAGCCATTTTGGGGGAGAACCAACGGAGAAGGAAGACCATTCTCTCTGTCTCTCTCACTGTCTGACTCTGCCTATCAAAAAAAAAAAATCTTGGTTGCTTTCAAGTGTAGGTGATTATGAATAAAACTGCTAGAAACATCCACATGCAGATTTTTCAACATTAACAGATGTTTTCAACTCATTTAGGTAAGAGCCAAGGATTGTGATTGGTGGTTTTAATGCTAAGAGTATTTTTACTTTTGTAAGAAACTGCCAAACTGTATCCCAAAGTAGCTATATACTGTTTTGCACCTTTACCATTAATAAATGAGAATTCCTCTCACCCTACATCCTTGCTAGCATTTGTTATTGTCAGTGTTCTGGATTTGGACCATTGTAACAGGTATATACTGGTGTCTTATCATTGGTTCAAGTTGCATTTCCCTGATGACATATGAGGGTATTTCAAAAAGATAATTTAAAAGATAAATTCATTTGGTCAAAAATTTTAAACACATGCATAAATTTTCATAATGTACATTTTCATGAACTTTTTGAAGACTCTGTTTTTATGAGTTTATTTGCCATCTGTGTATCTTCTTAGATGAAGCATGTGTTAAGGTCTTTGGCCCAGTTTTTAATCATTTTTTCTCTTATTGTTGAATTGTAAGACTCTTCTGATATTTTGTATAGAAGATCTTTTTTTGAAGATGTCTATATTTATTTTAAAGTCAGAATTAGAGAGACAGAGAGACAGTGAGAGAGATCTTCCTTCCACTGATTGACTCCCCAAATGGCCACAACAGCTGGCCTGGGCCAGGCCAGGATGAAGCTAGGAACCAGGAGCATTATCTAGGTCTCCCATGTGGATGGCAGAGGCCCAAGTGCTTGGGCCATGGGCCACTACTTTCCCAGGTGAATTATCAGGGATATGGATTGGAAATGGAGCATCTGGGATTTCAACTGGTGCCACTTTCGATGCCGGCGTCGTAGGCAGTGGCTTTTTACACACAGTGTTATTTATCAAACATATCTTTTTTTAAAGATTTATTTTATTTATTTGAAAGACAGTTACAGAGAGAGGTAGTGAACCATCCACTGGTTCACTCCCCAGATGACTGCAACGGCTGGAGCTGGGCCGATCCGAATCCAGGAGCCAGGAGCTTCTTCCAGGTCTCCCACATGGGTGCAGGGGCCCAAGCACTTGGGCCATTTTTGAGCTTCTTCCAGATCTCCCACTTGGGTGCAGGGGCCCAAGGATTTGGGCCATCTTCTACTGCTTTCCCAAGCCATAGCAGAGAGCTGGATCAGAAGAGGAGCAGCCGGGACTAAAACCGGCACCCATATGGGATGCTGGCACTTCAGGCCAGGGCTTTAACCTGCTGTGCCACAGCGCTGGCACCTCAAACATATCTTTTGCAAATATTTTCTCCTTGCTTATGACTCATTTTTCATTATTTTGACAGGATCTTTTGCAAATCAAGTGTTTAATTTTAATGAATGCCAGCTTATCAATACTTTCTTTATTAGTTTATGCCTTTGAAGTTGGAAAGTTACTGCCATGCCCATGATCATCTAGAATTTACGTGATCATCTAGAATTTACGTTATCACCTAGTTAACATTTTGCTTTTTGCATTTATGTGGGTGATCTATTTTGAGTTAACTTCTGAGAAATGTTTAATAACTGTGTCTAAGGTCATTTTTTTTGCATTTGGATACCCAGATGTTTTATACATGCATACACACACATACGTATGTGTATGTGTATAAATATTTTCTCCATTGCATTGTCTTTTCTTCTTTCAAAGATCAGTTGACTATATTTATATGAACCTATTATGGGCTCCTGTTTTGTTACATTTACCTATTTAATTTTCCTTTTACCATTACCACATACTATAGCTTTATATTAAGTCTTGATGTTGGATAGTGTCAGTACTACAACTTTGTTCTTCCCTTTCAATATTGTGTTAGATATTCTGTGTCTTTTTTCCTTTCCATATACATTTTAAAATCAATTTGTTAATATTCACATAATAACTTGCAGGGGTTTTGATTGAGATTGTATGAATCTGTAAATCAGCTTTTAAAGAACTGACATCATAGGGACTAACATTGTGGTGCTGCAAATTAAGCTACCACTTGCAATGCCAGTATCCCATGTAGGAGCACCTGTTCAAGTCCTGGCTGCTCCACTTCCAATCCAGCTCCCTGCTAATGCAACTAAGAAGGCAGTGGAAGATGGCTCAAGTACTTGGGCCCTTGCCACTCACATGGGAAACCAGGATAGTGTTTTAGGCTCCTGGCATTGGCTTGACCCAGACCTGGCTGTTATAGCCATTTTTGAGCCAACACATGAATGGATCGCTCTCTCTCTCTCTCTCTCTCTCTCTCTCTCTCTCTCTCCCCCTCTCTCTTTCTGTGTGTGTGTGTGTGTTGCTCTGCTTTTTAAAAGTAAATCAATAAATCTTTTTTTTTTGACAGGCAGAGTGGACAGTGAGAGAGAGAGACAGAGAGAAAGGTCTTCCTTTTTGCCGTTGGTTCACCCTCCAATGGCCACCGCGGCCGGCGCGCTGCGGCCGGCACATGGTGCTGATCAGATGGCAGGAGCCAGGTGCTTCTCCTGGTCTCCCATGGGGTGCAGGGCCCAAGTACTTGGGCCATCCTCCACTGCACTCCCGGGCCATAGCAGAGAGCTGGCCTGGAAGAGGGGCAACCGGGACAGAATCCGGCGTCCCAACTGGGACTAGAACCCGGTGTGCCGGCGCTGCAAGGCGGAGGATTAGCCTAGTGAGCCACAGCACCGGCCATCAATAAATCTTAAAAAAAAAAAAAAGAGCTGATATCTTAACAGCATTGTATATTCCTGTCCATGCACATGGAATTTCTCTCCACTGATTTAGTTCTTTGATTTCTTTCTTCAGTGTTTTAGTTTTTCTCACATCAATATTGTGCATATTTTGTCACATTTATAGCTAAGTAGTACATTTTAAGTTATTAATGCAAATATATTTTTCATATTTATTTATCCACTCATTTTAGAGAGAGAAGAGAAAGACCCCATTTACTGATTCACTCCCCTAATTCCCCCAGTGGCCAGGCCATTTCTTTTGTATACTAATATTGTATCCTGAAACTTTGCTATAGTCACTTACTAGTTCCAGGAGGGTGTTTTGTCAATTCTTTCCAAGATTTTGCACAGGCTCTCATGTCATCTACAAACAAGGACAGTTTTATTTCTTCCTTCCTCATGGGTATACCTTTTCTTGTTTCATTGCTTTAGCTAGGATTTCTAGTACAATGATGAATAGCCGTGGTGTGACAGAACATCTTTAACATTGTTCCTAAGCTTAGTGGGAAAGATTCTAGTTTCTTATCATTAAGCATAATATTACCTGTAATTTTTAATAGATGTTCTTTATGAAGTTGAAGAATTTCTCATTTTCCTAGTTTTCTATGGCAACTTTATTCTTCTGCATGTAGATATTCAGTTATAGAACTACTTTTAGAGAAAGGACGATATTATCAATAAATGGTGATTGAATCCAGTCACTGGAGTGTGAGTGAAAATGATGTGGGCGGTTCCTGGCCAAGGATTTTGAGAAGGAAGTCGACTACCTCTACTCTACTTTTCCCCCACTTTTCTGGCTGGATGTATGCTGTTATCAGGCCATGTCATGATGCTGATGCAGGAAGTGATGGTTAAGTAATGAGAAATACCAACAAAAGATAGTACTGGCCTCTCATTATTTTCCTATTTCAAAAGCACTTTGAGGGGGAAAAGCCATTGTAATCCATAAACTGTACTTTGGAAATTTATATTTACTAAATAAAAGTTAAAAAAAGCACTTTGGCATTTCATTAATTTCCAACATTTTCTGGCATTGTGGAAATTCAGGATTTCTTGTTCCTGCAACGCTAATTAGCTCACTCACCTCCCTAACTCCTATAGTTCTCAAAAATTAGAAGGGAATATTTACCACACCCTTAATTTCAGTAGTTTTCCTATGATTGTTTCAGTTGTTGTTGCTACCCTAAGCTTTATTTCCAGACATTAAACTCCTCTAATTTTCCCAAACACCACTGGTATAAAAAGTCTTCATGATGTCAGAGCTGAATAGTAGTCAAAACTTTATAGGCATTTTGGAGAGGAGGACATTTTCTTCTCTTTATGTTATGCTTTATTAATGGGATATGCACACTGGACTGTTAAACAGTTTCTTTGGAAACAGTAATTTTGGGAATTATTTATCAACTAGCCTTAGCCATGGCAGACTCCCAGATGTCAGCATGTGTTGGAATAGGCACAAACAAGATCTGAACTCAACGTTGCCATTAGAATAGCTATAATTCCCTAATCACAAAGCATTATTTGTGGACTATGGTCATTGTACCTGATGCTATGTTCCCTCAGAAAGAATCCTATTGAAGCAAACCCCACCAGTTCTACAGATTCACAGTGTCTTAAGTAGTACACACAGGTTGTGCTATTTCTCAGAGCATCTTCAGCCTGTGTAAAAAGTAGATATCCACTGGGCCCATTTTACCAGTTAGTTCACCATACCCACCCCAGCTTAGTTGGTCCTGACTGGAGAGAAATTTTATTGTGCTCAGCTCCTGGCATTAAGGAATTGGAGAAGGGATACATTCTAAGAATACACAGGCCTTGCCTCAACTTAAATCAAATGAGGTGTCCCAGAAGGAAGGTTTTCCTGAGGCATTTGAAGAACAGTAGAGAGGCAAGTTAAGCTAAATGAGCAAAAACAGGTGCAGTACCATGGTAATTGAGAGGGACAAGAGATCATTTAAGCTGCACATTCAAGGAATATGCTAGTGTGCAAGGAGATATGTGGGAGGTGGAGGGGGATGGGAGGTGGCATGGTGGGTACGGTGAGTGAGCTTAGCTGCCTTTGTATCCCAGGCTTAATCCTTGTGGATTGTTTCTACAATTTAGGTTTCAGGGGCATGTCAAGATTTTACAGGTGCTGGTGGAGGTACTAGGGAGTAACCTTGGCTATTGCATTCTATTGAGCTGGAATTCATTTTTGGTGAAAGTAAATAGTGTTGAGAAGTGAGATTATAAGTCAGCATCTAATTTAAGTCTTATTTGCTTTCTCATTTAAAGGTTTTATTTGAAAGGAAGAGAGAGAGAGAGAGAGAGAGAGAGAGAGAGAGAGAGAGAGAGAGATCTTAGGTCTGTTGGTTCACTCCCCAAATGCCCATACTTGCAACAGTGAGGGTTGGGCCAAGCTGAAGCCAGGAGCCTGGAAAGCAATTTGATCTCTCGCATGGGTTACAGGGATCCAGTTACTTGAGCCATCACTTGCTGTCTCCCAGAGTATGCATTAGCAGGAAGTTGCATTGGAAGCAGAGTAGCTGGGACTCAAACCAGACACTCTGATACGGGATGCAGGCATCCCAGGCAGTGCCAAATGCCAGCCCCTTTCATTTTAAAAAGAATACTTTATCAGATCCATACATATAAAGAGCAAAATTACATAAAATCACAAAATAGGCCTTTCTCAATTCAATAAACCTTAACTAATAAAAGACCATGTTGTGTAAATGAATTAACAAATTACTGAATACTTCAAAGACTCATACAGTAAAAAACTGTCAGCATATGGTACACTCATTCCTCCGCCAGTAATTATCTTTATATGAATATCCTAACACTTGTAGAATTACAATAAAATCTTGCACTCGTGTGATTTCAAGCATAACTAAAATACAGAGAGGAGATGGGTGGCTGTACTGATGAGAGAAACCCCAAAATATATCCTCCCAGGGATTGATGCACAGGTAAACATAATCAAAGGCAATAGGGCTTTGTTGGGATGGGGACTATATTCTGTTTATACTACTGCTATAAGAATCCTCAACAAACCTAGTGCCTTAAAATGAAAAAAGTTTTTTTACTTCATAGCCCAGGAGGCCAAAAATCCGAAATGATTCATATTTAACTGGACAAAAATCATTGGCAGAATTGCTTTCCTTTTGGAGTTTCTAGGGGAATAATATGCTTTTTTGCCATTTCGAATTCCTAGGGGCAGCCTGAATTCTTTGGCTCCTGGCTCCCTTCCATCTTCAGATCCAACAATAGCATGTCTAGTCTTTGTGCTGCTGCCTCCCCTTGTGGTGACATGGGGGAGGAAAACCCAGCATAATCTTAAATTGAATTCACTGGACTGGCAACCTTAATCTCAACTGCAAGCTTAATTCTCCTTTGCCAGTTAATGAAACTTGTTTCCATGTTCCAGAATACAGCACACACACACATCTTTGAGTTACCGTTATTCTGCCAAGCACAATGAATGTGCCCTTTAAATGAGTTTAAAAATGTTTGCCAGTAACAGCATCAAGTTTGCGCACAATCACATTGTTCTCCTTGGCCATTGCAGCAAGGACAGAGAGGGGTTCTAGAGTAAAGAAGTGTGAGTGAAAGGAAAGGATCCTAAACAGCCAGGTAGTTCTGTCTTGGGGAAGTGGAATCTTCCCTGAGAGTAACTGGTGAAATCAGGCAGGTGGTTAGAGCAAGGGGCTGAGGACCAAGTGGATGAATCCCTGCTGCGTTTCACATTGCCAAATGCCTGGAGGGCTTGGATGTGATTGGCAAGAAGAGACTTGATAGAGAACAGTGGAAGAGGACTGAGGTCCCGCGCTGCCTGGTGCCTGCCACTTGGCCATGGGCAGCAGAGGGGGTGACTGTATGGCCACCTGCAGCTCTTGACAGGGTAGGGTCCACTTTCTTGGGCAAGTGTGGGCACTAAGCAGTGACCAAGTGAGCTGCCATTCTGGAATAAGCAAAAGGCAGTGTAGACTCAGGGCGCAGACCTGTGATTTGTCTGTTAGGGCAGGTGGACTTCTCTCACAAGAGGGGCACTGGTGACCCTGCATGGGGGGCCCAGAGCAGTTCTCCGAGCAGAGGTGCCTCCCTCCCCTGCGTGGCTCCGTGAAGCAGTTAAGGAAGGAAGGACCACCGTGGTGGCCTCGTCCCTCCCAGGCTTTGGTGCTGACAGCCCCTGTGCCATGAGCGCCCGGGGAGGGGGCGACAGGAGCTGGCGCTCAGAGACGGGGGTGCAGAGGCGCCGAGGGGCAGGCTGGTATCCATCCGCTGCGCCCTGCGACGCGGCTCTCGCCGGCCCCGGCAGGCTGCGCGCCCCCCGACCCGTCCGCCTGCCGGCCCCAGAGCCCGTGAGCGCGCCGGAGCTGTGGTGGTGGTCGCTCAGTGAGCGTGAGAGGCGTCCCCGGAGGCGCCCCGCGCTAGCGCCCCCGGCCTGGGCTGGCGGTCGTGCGGGCCCCGCCCAGCTCAGGGTGGGAACGAGGGTGGGCCTGGGAGGGGGCGTCGAGGCGCTGGCGCCATATCCCTCCGCCCCCTTCCCGACACCCTCGCGGCGAGCGGTTGCTGCCGCATCCTGCGCAGCCCCTGACGGGTTTGGTGCAGAGGCGCGGGGGGCGGGACGCGGCTTGGCCGTTCTGGTCGCAGGGAAAGCGCTGGGAATCCGAGAGAGAGAGAGAGAGAGAGAGAGAGAGAGGAGAAGCGAGGAGGGCAAGGCTGGAGACCGGGGCCCTGAGCCAGTGAAGGCAAGTGGGGGAGGTGGGGGGTTCGGGTCTTCTTCCCCCCACCGCCGCCGGCCGGCTGACAGCCTGGCCCCACACCCGGGCAGCCTGGCAAGGAGGCGGCGAGCCTGTCGCAGCTGGCCCGGGTCCGGGTCCCATGTGGAACGCAGTGCCTGGTGGCCCCTGTGGAGGAGGCAGCAGGGATCCGCGCGGGCAGGGCCAAGGGCAGAGCGGTGGTCAGAGAGGCACCGGCACATCCTCTGAAGACCAGCTGCGGGGACAGCCTGCCAGCCGGTTTCCCAGCGCCCGGCCCCGCCCTCGCTGGTGCCTGTGCCCCAGGAGGCGGTGGGGGAGGCAGGGCAGGAGAATGTGGGAACAGGAGCTGGGGTGGGGGGTGCCCGGGAGGCCGGCCGGCCGGGTAGTGGCGGGGACGGGCACCTGAGCTCCCTGGCCAGCTCAGTGGGGGGAGCTGGGTCGCGTTTGCCACTGTGAGCCCTGATGCTGGAAGGGGTGCACTGGGTGCCTTGTCCTGGGTGCTGCCCCTTTCCACAGGTTTCAGGTTGATGTCAGAGTCTCCTGTCTGCGTGGTGGGGCTGGCATATCCTGGCAGGCCACAGTGTGGGTCTAGAGAGGAGAGGCGTGAGCAAAGGAGCCACAGAAAATGGCTTGGGTTTATGGACGTGTGTGGGATGGGGATGGGGGTGAGTGCCGCCAGGGGAGGTCTGGCATCCAGCTGCACCTCCTCATCTTCCCTACCTGCGATCCAGGCACTTCCCCCACCCGCCCAAAGTGGGGGCCTGAAGGGGGGCTTTGCAGCTGTGTGGGATGAGGGAGTCACAGTTACAAGGGCCACTTCACAACCTGCTTCTAGAATATGCGACACCTTTTCCCTGTTTTATGCTGCGTAAGACATGGGGCTGTGGTGCACCTAGTGGTGAATCCCCAGAATTGGAGGAGGGAGTGATGGGAAGGGTGTGACGTCAAGAGAGGGAGTTCAGTCTTTCTGGAACCCTGCAGCAGGACCTCAGTGAACCCTGCAGCAGGACCTCAGTGAGACCTGAAGGTTCCACCAGCACGATCTCAGACGCTGAAAGACAGATATAATGAGAATTCCTACTCTTGGTGTCCGGCTGTCCACCAGGCTTCAACTGCTGCTGTGATTTCCTGACTGCCTTACCTTTCCATCTGTTTGTCCATAGGCCTGCTTTGAGGCCGCTCAGTTCTGCAAGAAGGGAGAGGAAGAAGAGACTGGCTCAAGTGTCTGGAGGTTGGTGCGAAGGGGGACAATTCAGGGCACAGCTATAGACCTTGATCTGAGCAGAAAGTGATATTTGTTTCAGGGGCCAGGATGTGTGCTTACCTACTGAGCATTCAGACTCCATTCTCTCCTGTCTGTTCACTTGTCTGTAGGACCTTCCTCCCCACAGCCATCAGCTGTGGGACTTGACACCACTTGATCAAGGAAAGCAGGGGGAGATTACATCACATCAGTCAAGGTTGGTATAAGAACGGACTCTTTGGGTGGGGTAGTGGAGACCAGCACTACTGTAGGAGCACTGAGGGTCCGGTCTGGGGGCTCTTCAGCCTCTCCTCTTTCCAAAATACTTCCAGCCACTGCCAAATCCATTTTGTAGCAGACGACAAGGACAGAGACCGTCTCCTAGCCTAGCATTTAACACCAGTCTCTGCACGGAGTGATGCAATTGGAGCAGATTTAGATCCCCATTTCATTCTCTCTCTCTAGATCCACCTACAGTGGCAGCTCTGGTGGTATTGGAGTTGCTGCTGACCACCACAGCAGGTCTGCACCCACCAGGAACCATCCATCCATCCCCCAGCTTGGCTGAATTTTGTCTGTGTTGCTAAGACTGTTTGAAAAGAAGGATAATTGACTCTTTATGTTGTTCACAGCCTTTTAGAGTGTAAAATGGAGCTTGAAACAGATTCGTGTTTGTAGTGGTTTAGATAGGGACTTATTACTGAGCTTTCTCTAACTTGTATCATGACCGGGGCTGAGATTGAGCCTGGTGTTCCCAGTAAGCCTGAAACAAAGGCTGGGGAAGAGGTTGTGGGTGGGGCTGAAAGAGAGAATGAAGTTCCCTTGGTTGTCAGACCCAAGGTTAGGATTCAAGCCCAGATAATGAATGGGGCAAGGCCCAAAACTAAGACCAAGGTTATGCCTAGGGCACGGCCTAAAACTAAGGCCAGTACAGGAGGTGGGGCACATTCTAAGAGTAAGTCTAAGGGAATCCTTGGGTCAGAATCTAAGGGTGATGCCCAGGTATGGGCCCAGGCTGAATGTGGGGCTATGGCAATGTTGAAGACTGAGGGAGAGTCTCCAACCAGTAGTGCTTTTTCTAGATCAGTTGCTAAAACTAAGTGTCTGTCTGTGGATAGAGAACTGCTTAATATGGACACTGAGAGCTTTCCTAGAAGGAAGGACAACTCCCAAGCAGGATTCCAGCCTTCATTTAGGTCAGAGGGAGAGGATGGTATTGAGTCCTGGTACTGCCCCAAGCCTCTATCCAAACAAGAAACGTCTCTGTGTTCCTTGTTCTGGAATAGAGATGAAGTCAGTTCCAAATTTCGTCCTAGGAATAGAATAAAGGCCAGTACCAGGTCCAGGCACATGGCCAGAAAAGAAGTTAATATTCTGTGTAAGCCCAAAACCAAGAAAGAACTCTGTACTGTGTCTAGTTCTGGTTCTGAGGATGAGTCTGTGAAGATACCCTGTTTCTGGGCCAAAGACCAGACATATTCCTGGTCCAGGCCCAGAGAAGAGGCCAATAATTGGTCCAGGTTTACATCTAAGACACAAGTCTGTGTTGAGTCCAGTTTTGGTTCTGATCGTGAAGACCACATGAAATCCTGGTTCTGGTCTAGAGAGGGGATCAAATCCAGATCCAAACCCAGAGCCAGAAAAGAGGCCAACACCAGGGCCAGGCAAAGGGCCAAGCAAGAAGCTTGCATGGATTTCATATCTGGCTGCATGGATGTAAGAAAAAATGAGCCCTGGTTCTTACCTGGAGAAAAGGCTGGTAACTTTTTATGGCCTAAGACCAAGAAAGAGGCCAGGGCCAGAGCAATGGCAAAGGAAGAGGCCAAAGCCAAGACCAGAGCCAAGGCCAAACGGGAAGTCAAGTCAGAGGAGGAGGTCCTTATTGGTACCTGGCTCTGGGCTACAGAGGAATCCAGCATGGTGGATGGAGCCAATATCATGTCCATTTCACAAATGGAGGGTGAATCCCTTGTTGGGAGTTGGTTCTGGACTGAAGAAGAGGACAGTTTGGGGACTGGAGCCAGTAAATCCATACCAAGGGCTAAGGTGGAGCCTAGTTGTGATTCCTATCTTGGGGCTGTGAAAAACACTAGTGTGGCAAGTGGGACTGCAGGTGCTTCTGAAACTATGCTAGCAGCTGATGAAGAGGTCATTGTTAGTTCCTGGTTCTGGGTTGGTGAAGAAGCCAACCCAGAGCCTGAGGAAGAGACCATTTTTGGGTCTTGGTTCTGGGACATTGATGAAACCAGTGTGGAATCTGGTACTGCAGTCAGCTGTGAGTCCAGGAAAAAGTCAGAGGAAGAAGCAGCTGTTGGTCCCTGGTTCTGGACTGGCGAAGAAGGCAGTGTAGTGGCTGCGGTTGGAGAAGAGGCCAAGTCAGGATCTGAAGAAGACACAATATTTGGATCCTGGTTTTGGTCTGAAAACCAGCCCCCTGTGGATTCTAGGGATGAAGCTAGCTGTGACACTGTGCCAGTGGGTGAGGAGGAGGAGGAGGAGCCCATTATTGGGTCCTTGTTCTGGGCCGGAGTAGACACTTGGGTGGAGGCTGAAGTCAACAGCATGTCTAATCTGGAGGATGAGGAAGAGGCCATTGTATCACCTTGGTTTGGAGTCAAAGAAGAGGTCAGTATGAAGTATGGGGCTGGTGCCAGATGCAAATTCATGACAAGAGCTGAGGAGAAAGATAGATCTTACTTCTGGGAAAAAGGAAAACCCTTTATGTATCCTGCTGATGGAGGAAGCTGGAATTCTAAACCAAAGGAGGAAGAGGACACTGTTGATTCATGTTTCTGGTCCAAAAACTACTCAAGACCAGGGGCCATTGTAGGGTCCTCGTTATGTGCTGCAGAAGGTGGCAGTATAGATGATGAGACTGGAGAAGAGGCTAGGTTACCAACTGAAGGGGAGAACGTAATCAAGCCTTTGTTCTGGAAAGACGATGAAGCCATTCAGGAGACTACCAGCAGAGAAGATCCCAGGCCAGCAGCTGAGGAGGAGTATATTGTTGGTTCTTGGTTCTTGGCTGGGGAAGAGTACGGGCTTGAGGCAGTGCCTAAAGTTAGAGAAGAGAATAGTGTCACAACTGAGGAGGAAGCTGTTCTGGGGTCCTGGTTCTGGGAGGAGCCTGTTAGGAGAGAAGCTGGATTTTGCAACAAATCCAGTGTCACATCTGAAGAGGAGGAAGTCATTGTTGGGTCCTGGTTCTGGGAAGAAGGGGCCAGGACGGGGACAGTGATAGAGGCCAGCTCTGAGTCCAAGCCTGGGACTGAGGAGGAGGAAATCATCATTGGGTCCTGGTTCTGGAATGAAGAAGCCAGTATAGAAACTGGGTCTCATGCAGTAGACAAAACAAGGTCAGAGACCGAAGAGAATGTTTTTGGGTCCTGGTTCTGGGCTGCAAAAGAAGGTGATGGAGAATCAGGTGTGTGCCATGTGTCCTCGCCACAGGATGATGAAGAGATGATTGTTGAGTCCTGGTTGTGGTCTGGAGAGGAGGCCATTAAGGAGACTGGAACTGTGGCTACTTGTGAGTCGGAAAATGAGGAAGGGGCAGTTGCTGGCTCATGGTTTGGAGCTCAAAATGAGGAGAATGATGGGACTGGAAGTGGAACCAACTGTGAGTCCAGGACGTTTGCTGATGAAGATGAGGCCATAGTGGGGTCCTGGTTCTGGGCAGGAGATGAGCCTCATTTTGAGTCAAATCCAAGCCCTGTTTTCAGGGCCATTTGCAAGTCCAGGTGTTCAGTTGAGCAGGAGCCTGATCCATCACGCAGGCCCCAGAGCTGGGATGAGGTCACAATTCAGTTCAAGCCTGGTCCATGGGGAAGGGTTGGCTTCCCATCCACAAGCACCTTTAACTTTCCCAAAGAAGCAGTATTTCTGTTTTCTGAAATGTTTGGAGGAAAGCCCAAGCTCTTGGAACTTAGCCCGGAAAGGGAAGAGCAGGAATCTTTGCTTCAGCCTGATCAGCCTGACCCTGAGTTCCAATTTCGGTATGATCCTTCCTATCGGTCAGTCCAGGAAATTCGAGAGCACCTTAGGGACAAAGAGAGTACAGGGCCTGAGAATTGGTCTTGCAGCTGCATACAGTGTGAGCTTAGAATTGATTCTGAAGAGTTTGAAGAACTCCTTTTACTAATGGACAGAATCCGTGATCCTTTCATCTATGAAATATCTAAAATTGCAATGGGGATGAGAAGTGCTTCTCAGTTTACCCGAGATTTCATTCGGGATTCAGGTGTGGTCTCACTTATTCAAGCCTTGCTCAATTATCCATCCTCCCGAGTTAGGACAAGGTTTTTGGAAAATATGATTCGCATGACTCCACCTTACCCAAATCTAAACATGATTCAGACATATGTATGTCAAGTGTGTGAGGAAACCCTTGCTTATGGCTTGGATACCCCTGAGCAGCTGTGTGGAATAAGGATGATTACACATCTCACCAGTACTACTGACTATCATACACTGATTGCCAATTATATGTCAGAATTTCTCTCCTTGCTAGCTACAGGCAATACCCAAACAAGGTTTCATGTTTTGAAAATACTGTTGAATTTTTCTGAAAATCTTGTCATGACAAAAGAACTACTCAGTGCTGAAGCAATGTCAGAATTTATGGGCCTCGTTAGCAGGAATGAGACAAATGACAATGTTCAAATTATTCTTGCAATATTTGAAAATATTGGTAACAATATCAAAAAAGAAGCAGTGTTCACTGATGATGATTTCGATCTCGAGCCACTTATTTCTACATTCCATGAGGTTGAGAAATTTATTAAGGAACTGCAAAGCAAACCAGACGATCCAAATGACCCCGAAGCAGACCAGGAAAATTAGTATGACTAATCACTTGCCAGATTGTCCTTTTATTCCTGTGTTGTGATCCTCAAGTAATGCTTTGGTTTTCAAAGTTGAATCTGTGTTGCAGCATACATCTTTAATTCTGATATTAACTTGCCAACTCTGTGTATAAGATGGGTCATTTTCTGATGCCAAATGAGTATTGGAACTGAAAACATTTGTTGATATTTATCTTGTCCAAATTGTGATATTTAGTATTTGAGCTTATTGTGAACTGAGCCATCATAAATAAGTTATCCTTCCAGTTGCTGTTCTGATGTTTACATACCTCTTTGAGTCTTATTTGTGTTTCAATAAAGTTCTCTGTTAAAATTGGCAGAAATCACCCGTCTTGAATTTAAAATACAAAATAAACACACAAGCACATACAGAGATAAAGATAATTAACATCTGTGTAATATGCTCCATGGAAAAGCTGTTTCTCCACTTTGAACACAAAAGTCACCAGGGACCACTACTCAGGGCATGCGTCAGAGAGAAAGGACCCACTGAAGTTGGACTTTAAAGTGTAGGAACGACACTGGTGTGAAGAAAAGCATGGGGTTGGAACAAAAAAAGTGTGCTAAGGGGATAAGGTATCCAGTTTGCCTGGAGTGGGTAGGAGGAATATGTTGAGGGATATAGAGGATGAGATAAGTTTTGAAGAGCTGGGAAGATGCACTTTGCTGATCAAAGTACAACTATTCTTTTGAAGTTACCTAAACGGTAAAAGAATAAGATACATGAATCTACTTGAGTAGGAAGATGATTTAATTAGGATTGTGCCTATGGCGACTGTTAAGAAAGTATCATAGAGCAATTAAAAGTGACATATAGGTTTTATAACTAGGAAAAGCCCTGATGCTTTTACAGTTGGTGTAATGGAGAAGACATGTATGATTACATTTTAAAAGTTAAGTGTGAGTAAACTTATGAATTTATGCAAGTGACTTTGATTATAGAAAATTCTACAATGATATGATAGACATCAACTTCAGTGTAACTGGTTTGCCAAATAAAAATAGTAAAATTATTTTTTAAACAGTAAAATCAATGAAGTTCTTGTGTTTATGCCAGTTTTCTTTTTTCTGTGTTTTACATTCACAAAAGTATTACAGACAGGAGAAAAAGGAATAAAGTTGGTTTTAGGAAGGAGTCAAGGATAAGGGAAGATATATAAAGTGTTCTGTTCTTTTCAGGGAATGAACTAGAAATAGTGACTTTTATTTTTGGTTGCTCTGAGGGAGAAAACTGCACTTTTCCACCTGATTGTAGTACATGAAGGTTTATGAAAGGCACATAAAATGGCAGTTTTGCCTGTCTTCAAAAATCATAAATGTTAAAAGGGATCATCGTGGTGGTGCAAGCTGGAGTTCAATGTTTTGCTTATGAAAATTTTTCAAGACCGAGCCTGTGTGTGTGTATTTACATGTCGCATGAGTATTATTCAAAGTATTGAAGGTTCATCTCCCACATCCTCGTGGAGTGTTCCACACCAGCCATCCAAGCCCCCTAACAGAGCAAAGCGCACGCATAAGACTGGCAGCTTTGTCTCCAAATGCAGCCCTCCGGCCAGCTGCACGTTCGCCAGGGTCAGGAGCTCGTGCTGCCTGTATCAGCAGCTCAGCCCCAGAAGCAGATCGCGGCCATCCCTGCAGCAGGCAAGCTGACTGCGCGGTCACGTGGGGCGGGCGGCGGGTCATGTGACCAGCTCTGGGCCGGCAGAGAAGAGTGTTTACTTGCTCGGAGAAGGGACCAGGAGGACCTAGGATGGACCCAGGGAGGTGCGCCGGGTGGCGGGGAGTTACGGTGGGTGGGTGGGTGGGGTCTCTGCATGCTGCATGGGCCTGAAAACTAACTTCCCAGGCGACCACGGAGGACAGCGCTTGTCGGTCAAGAAAGTGGTCCCTTAGGCAGTGGCGAGCGTCCTAGCCAGTCTGTCCCTCGTCCGGGAGCTGCAGCCTTGGAGGCGGCGTTCGTTCGTGGAGAGAGCAACGGCTGGTGTTGGAGGGGGTGGGTGCGAGGCCGGGAAATGCCATCGGCGGGAGGTGGTGGCTGAGAGTGGACGCGGCTGCAGGAAATGTCTGGGCGTCTGGGCGCCTCGCCCTCCAGGCCGCCTCTGAGCAGCCCCTCCCCCCACCCCAGGCTTCCCGCCCAGCGCGGCGCGACTGTGTTGCTAGGTTTGGGTGAGGGCGGCGGGCACTCGGATGGAGCTGACTTCGGGGGTCCGGTAGAGCCTAACAGGGAGGGGACGACTCGTGGGCACTGCGGCACTGGGTGAGGACAGGCAGGGGTGGGGCTGGGAACCGTGGGCAGCTGTCTTCCTCTCACCACGTGGGCACTGGCTCTCCAGCGTCTGCCTGCCTGCCTGCCTGCCTGCCTTACTGACAGTGTCCAGGCAGTGGGGATGGCTGAGGGCAGCTGGAAGCTGGGGGTGGGCAGGGTAACACATCTGCCTTTTGCTCCAGGGCTCAAGCTGACTGGGGATGCCAGAGAGGAATGAGCCTCAACCTGGGAGCTCTGGACAAAGAGGAGGAGGCGTGGACTGGGGGAGGAACCTAGATGCTTTGGGCTCTTCACTTGGGATTTCTCATGGGGATCCTCCCCAAGCTTAACAGCCTCTTAGAGACCTCCTGGATCTCAACCTTAGAGAGCAGCATCCTGTGTGAGGTTCTGAAAAGAGCCAGTCCCACTGTGCCCTCGGTGGCTCGCTCTCATCTAATGACACACTGGTTCTGCTCCATCTGATGCTCCCACTCCCTCAATTCCTGGGTATAAGTGGAAGGTCTTTCGGGGATCCACTGACATGTTCTGCTTTATGGATAGTCTCTAAGATTACCCCACCCCGTGGACCGTTTGCTCTTTCATTTTTGTTTTACGGCCAATGGCTTAGACTTGGTGATTTGCACCTATTCTTGGTGACACTCCTTGTTTGTGTTCATCCGTTTTGCTCAGCGCTCCACTGTGTCATACAGCCAGAGTACCGAAATCCTTCAAGATGATTTAAGGGAAATGAATTCTACTAATCATATCAACCTCTCCACTTATTTGCCCCTTTTATAGGTTTGAACTTAATCCATAGAGACTTTCCTCATTCTTTTTTACAGCTGTGTAGTACTCCGTGGTACCACTATTATGATTCATTCAATCATTCTTTCCTGTGTGCATACTTGTTTCTAATATGTTGCTATACATATTACAGAAAATGTACAAATATGTTTTTGCATGGCTGGAGGTATATCTCTATGGATTCTTATAATTGGGGTTGGTGGTTCAAAATGTAAGTTCACATGTCCCTTTTTTAGGTACTCTCTCTAAAATTTCCTCCAAAGGAGTAATACAAATTTCCGTTGTCCAACATTTGAGAGTTTGTGTTTCTGCATAGACTTGAAAAATAAATTCTTATTATCTCTTTGAAATTTATAAGATATGTGATGATTTTACCTCTTTCATTCCTGATGTTAGTAATTGTGTCTTCTCTTTTTTTCTTTATATTTTTGATTAATGGGTTATCAATTTTGTTGGCCTTACTGAATTGGCTTTTAGTTTTATTATTTTACTATTTCTTTGGTTTATGTTTTTATGTTTATTATTTGTTTTCTTTTTAGTTGTTATTTAAGTTACTATGATTTCTCCAGGTACTTCAAGTAGAAACTAATGTCATTGCCTTGAGACTTTTCTAATCTAGACCTTTTAGTACCATAAATTTCCTTCTAATTCTATTTTAGCTACATCATACAAATTTTAATATGTAGTCTTTTCATTTTTCTTCAACTGAAATTACTTATGAATTTCCCTTTTGTATTCTTTTACTCCACAGTTATTTAGAAATATGCTGTGTAGTTGTCAGGCATTTAAATATTTTCCAGTTACTAATTTCTTACTCCATCATGGTCAGAGAATATACTTTTATTACTTACATATTTGCTCTCTTCATACTGTTCCTGTTCCTTTAAGCTTTCTTCATGCCACTTTATTCTTTTTTCCCTCTGTGTATTTTCAAATAGTCTGTTTTTGAACTAATTTTTTCTAATGTTTAGTCTGCTACTTATGCCTTCTATCATGTGTTTAATTTCACTTAGTGTACTTTTCAGTTGAAGGATTTGTTTAATTTTTGTTTTACTTCCATCTCTGTTCAGTTTCTCTGTTAAGGGTATTAAATTTTTTTCTCTGTATGTTCCTGAAGCTTGATCAGTTTCCTTAAACTTGCCTTTTTAAATTATTTGTCCCCAAATTTTCATATATTGGCTGCTGTCTGATTAGATTATGACACCTTATTTTGTTCTTTTTTTTTTTTTTGACAGGCAGAGTGGACAGTGAGAGAGAGAGAGAGAAAGGTCTTCCTTTTGCCGTTGGTTCACCCTCCAATGGCCGCCGCGGCCGGCGCAGGAGCCAGGAGCCAGGTGCTTTTCCTGGTCTCCCATGGGGTGCAGGGCCCAAGCACCTGGGCCATCCTCCACTGCACTCCCTGGCCACAGCAGAGAGCTGGCCTGGAAGAGGGGCAACCGGGACAGAATCCGGCGCCCCAACCGGGACTAGAACCCGGTGTGCCGGCGCCGCTAGGCGGAGGATTAGCCTAGTGAGCCGCGGCACCGGCCTATTTTGTTCTTTGAATGAGGTCATGATTCCCTGAAAGTTCTCGTTGCTTGTTGATATACGTCATCTACATATTTAAATACTGGGATTTTTTTTCTGAGTCTTCATAATCTGGCTTTGTGCCTGTCTTTCAGAAAGTCTAAGCTGCTTATTTTGTCTGTAGACACTTTCACTATTTCAGCACCAGATGGCGCCCTATGTTGAGACTTGCCCCAGATCTGCAGTTGACATGTTTTTGCTGTTTCAGCATTGAAGGCATCCTAATCCTAGGCTTTCCCCAAATCCACAGTTGGTGTGGTGTTTAGAATGAAATGGGGAACTTTTTAAAGGAAGAATAGTCTGTGTCTGAAAGCTTCCTGGTTTCAGGGTAGGCCCGGATGTGTCATCCACACTCACTGGCTTGTGGCCAGGTACTACAGGATTCTACCAGGGTCTAGGCCTTTATCATATAGAGACCATCCCCACATTCTTATGCTATCCTCTCCCAAGTGGACACTTACTCTATTTGTGTTGTGCTGCCTGAGGTTGTGGTAAGGACAGAATGGGCAGTCCTATGGTCCTCAATGCCGCAGTGTTAAAACACATTTAGAACCCACAGTCTGCTGAGTGTAGTGCAGCATGAGAGTATGACCAAGGCCACACTACTATGGGGCACCTGCTGCTGAGGCAGACTCATAGCACAAGGCCACTGCAACCAGCCACAGATGATGCTAGTCGGGATTTAAGTCCAGTAGACTGGGGTTGTGAGTTTTCAAGTGGCAATGGTACTGGTACAGAGACTCCATCTGCATGTACTAGTTTAGACCGAGGGGCCATTAGGATCTTTTCAGTGTTGGGATTTTCCAGCTTGATACTAAGTTATAAAACATGGTCCTGTATTCAGTTTCATTCTGTACTCCCAAGCAGCTGGTGTCTTGTTGCTTGCCATCTGCCTAATGTTTGGGGGAGGGTTGGTAAAGGCAGTCCGTAGGCAGCTCAGGGTGATGCTAAGCGAGGCCACACCTTAGTTGAGTAGCACAGCAGGTACACATGTAGGCTGATAGTGACGTAGGCAAAACAAATCTGTCCCACCAGGACACAGATCTCCACATGATGCTGGCTTAGACGTAGGGGCTTCATCTATGAGTACTGCCCTGGGAATGATGGCATTTGGTCTTTATCTGGCGCTGGCTATCACAGTGGCAGACTCAGGACTGAGCTCCAAGGCAAAGTCTCATATTGACTTTTGTCATCCTGCTCTGCAGTGGCTATCATTTTTCTCTGCTGTCTGCTAGAGATTGGAGGAGGGATCAAAGCAGTGGTCCTTTTCCTGCCTGGCTATGGAGGATCCAAAGGCCTAGTGTGCAGGTCCATGGGGACCTGTCCAGCGCTGGGTTTTACAGTGTCAGGTCTGGTATTGAAACTCAAGTCTAAGGTCTTGACTGAACTCCTTCTCCCTCTTCTGAGCATGAGGCATGGAGTCTCCAAGCTGTACTGCTTAGAGCTGGAGGAGGGTAAGCAGGCAGCTCTTTACTTCCTACCTTCTTCAATGCATCGTTTCTTATACTAGCACCAAGCTCTGTGGCCCCTCACCTGGCTTCCTTAGCTCTTGTGAAGGTAATTTGATATGTAAAAGCTGTATACATTGGTATTGCCGTGGGATGATGATCTCTGGAGTATCTTATTCAGGCATCATCTTGCTTCACCTCCTGGGTGTTTGATTAGAGATTGAGTAAATTGTTCTATAAGTGTCAGTTATGTCTAGTTAGTTCATGTGTTTTGGATATTCTACCATATATGTTTACTCATTTTGTTTCTACTTACTGACTGAGGACTGCTGAAATACCTTACTATAATTGTGGTTTTGTCTATCTCCTTAATGTTCTATCATAGAAATATTGTTACTATTATTTAAAAATATTCTAGATCCTACTTGCATTTTTTCACTTGCATTCATAAATGAGATTTATGCATAATTTTACTGTTTTATTCTATAGTTTTATCATTATTATATTGTTATATTATCCTTATTAGATGGATTTGGGTAGCTTTTGTTCTTTTTCTAGTCTGAGAAACTGCATAAGATTGAGATTGTCTGTACCTTATAGATAACTTAAAATTTATCTCTAAAACCTTTTTGTAACTAATACCTTTTAGGGTGGCACAAACATAACCACTTACAGGTAACAATGGGCTTTTCACAGTAATT